GGGATTTTCTTAAGGGGTTTTGCCCGGACGCCGGGTTTCCCCTCCATATACTACCATGTTGGTACTTTCTCATGTATCCAGGGGCGTTCTTGCCCAATTGATGGTTAGTCACTTGCGTGAAGAACCAGGGAGGGTGTTCGTGGGTCTGTGAACATTGTTGTTGGATACATGTGCTGGATGTTTTTGTGTCACGCAGACTGGTAAGATAACCGTTTGATAGGGGGCACCGCGATGATTCACGGGGCCCCTCCTTGCTGTGGGAGCCGCTCTTTGAGCACTCCCTCTTGCGTCCGTGTGAAGGACGGTCGTCGACCTCTCGTGAAGTTAATACATCACCAAAACAGTCTCACCCGATAAATAAGTGGCGTAGGCCGCAAACAGAATGTTTTCGTGGTACATGTACTTCGAAGGTCTTTCTTTCTACAGCGCTGCTCTTTGACTGCTTTTCTTGTTGTTCCCACCAGAGATCGTACACCATTGTTATACAGTGTATTGAATCCCTGTCATCTACTCTGGCTCTCTTCTGCTTGCTCGTACTTTGCAGTCTATCCCAGTTTGTACTTACTGGTTTGACAGAACCCAATGATTGGTGTCCCACGTTGGCCGACGGATGCTGCCTACTCGGGCGACCCTAGTATTTTGTAACTTTGTACCCCTCATTTATTGCGACTCCCTCCGCACGGGTGTGCGTAAAGCATACGTTACTGAATCAGCAACCAATAAGTCACATTCCTTCCTAGGTTTGGCGGTGTCGGACTTGGCAGTACCAGCGAACGATACTCTCGCCTTCGCCCGCGCGGGAGGACCCCGAGATTTGTAATTATACTTATCACGTTTGTCGGTTCCCCGCAGAGCACGCCCACCGCGTCGCGCGCCGTATGCTCCACCACTGGACACGAACGCGTCCTGCCCTGAAATATAGTTTTCAATGGCAGTGATCTTGTCCTTGTTGTCGTCCGCAGTACTTTGGAGCTGCCCGGGGCGAGCAGAGNTCTCGCCTTCGCCCGCGCGGGAGGACCCCGAGATTTGTAATTATACTTATCACGTTTGTCGGTTCCCCGCAGAGCACGCCCACCGCGTCGCGCGCCGTATGCTCCACCACTGGACACGAACGCGTCCTGCCCTGAAATATAGTTTTCAATGGCAGTGATCTTGTCCTTGTTGTCGTCCGCAGTACTTTGGAGCTGCCCGGGGCGAGCAGAGCCGTACACGGTAGAGGCGGTAACCGAGATTGGGGCAGGGGGCGAGCGCAGTTTATTGGACTCATGTCTACGATCACGCGCTTAAGACTCCATGAAAGAATCGGATTGATCTGCCCGCATCATCTCTACGCGGATGTGGGGGTGTACACCGTTTTCGAAGATGCGGTGAGAGCTTGGTTGAAAGCGTGTTCATGACGTGGTACATTCAGCGGAGCTGTGCGTTCAGCAACGGCTAGAAGTCTGGCATACGCGCGTGATGCTCTGAGCGCAAACACTTCAACTGATTCGCTAGTCTTCGCTGCTAATGTCATGACATCACGTGCAAGAAGAGCAATTCGGTTGGCGGGAGCGAACGATGTGGTGTGACCCATTCCTTCCATGTTTTCGGAGGTAGGTGTGATTCGGGCCACTTCCCCACGTGCACGCAACGCATTTAGCTGAGCTGGTGGTCGCCGTTCGAGAGATGAGCTAAGGATGAGGCTGAGACTTTGAGCTGCTACACCTCGCACGAATAGCGCGAGATGTTTGATTGCACGGTGATCGATTGTGCTTTGAGAGACGTTGTCGGCAGACAACAGACCGATGTGTGCCCTGTAAAGTGCCATTTTTTCCGGAACATCTTCGCGAGGCAGACCCTCGAGCTTGAGATCAGGAGGTAGGTCAGAAGCTTTCAAAGTAAATCGCGCCGTGCTAATCACGTCCTGGATAACCGTGGGTTGGGTTACCGGGGTAGGGTGGACCTGGTCTACCGTTTGCTGGTTTACCTGGTTCGATGAGGCCTGGTTTACCGTATTGTGGTGTACCGGGTTAATGGGTGAAATTGTTGGTGTAGATATATTCCTAGCAGGGGTCTGTTAAACACATAGTTGCTGTCGTGTGCATACCAGAGCGATCTTCTGCTTATAGATCGGGGGCAAGCGAACGCGGACTCACCTTCTGGATGTCTTGCTGGTGAGCGGCTCCCGGCATAACCATGCCAACAACCCATACCGGCGGGTCATTCTCCGCCTCCACTGCCGTCGTGACCGCCCTGACCAGGACGGCCTCCAGCGGCCCACCGCTTGCCAGGAGCGATGCACTCTGCTGACTGGCGGCGTCGGCGCGGTTCTGCAGGATGTCTGGTGCGAGGTCGTCGTCGACGTTGTCGTCGTCGACGCCGTCGTCATCGTCGACGTCATCCTCGTCGTCAGGGGGTGGGTCGGTGTCGAGGGTTTGGGTGCTACCGGCCTTGGCGCCGTCGCCAGCGCTGCTATTGTTGTCGCTGTCACGACCGTCACCGACCAGGGCGTGGAAATACCCGCGATGGTGACTGCTCTGCAAGGGTGCTACGCTCGCAGCCGCACCGGCGGATGTGGCGGAATGCTTGGGGGGTATTTTCTTATTTTTTGGTCATCAGATGATTCAAGATCGTCGGCCGTGACAATTCGTGGCTCAACGACTGCAGGAATGGTCTCCTTTGGGGCGTGGCTAGTCACGACATCGACGGCCATCTCATGTTTCGGAGGAATGCAGTACCTCTTACAAAGACATACTGGCACGGCTCCTTGAGACTGGGAAAGTTTCACAACGGAAATTTGTGCTGATGCTCTGTCATGTTGATATGTTTGTGTTCGTGAGCTCTGGCAACAGTACTTGCCGTGCGGACTTGGGGCTGCTGTTTAACTGGTTGAATTAGCACGCGATAGAGAAGGCACGAAGGGAGAGAGAGCGGAAGGAGAGAGTGCCCCGAACTCACGAGAAAAACGGGGGCTCCGCGCTCTCACCAAACTGTCTCGCCACATACCTCTCCAGGTATATCCTATCTGCGTCCTACGTAACGGCTACTTTTGGCTTGTCTACTCCTACGTACGAACACCCTCCCTGGTTCTTTGCACCATCGAAGAACCACTCGTGCGTCGGAACTATGCCAAAATAGCTGAAACGCAACGAAGAAAATAAAACCAAGGGGAAACCCGGCCGCCGGATCAAAACCCCTCGAAGTCCAACGCCTCATACAAAATCAAACGAACCGTCCATGTCATCTATGATTCCAACGGCTGTACTGCAAGATCAAAACAAAAGTGACTTACACCAAACATGCGGATTACGATTTTCTAAGCAACGCTCTACTCTCCAAC